TATATATATATATATATTTTATCCATTTTACTACATTTAATACGGATAAACAAATATGACGAATGAAAAAATAAGCTATGATATATGATTTTTAAAATTGTCAAAGTGTAGGTCCGAATGATACGCACTGCAATTACTTTTGCGTGCTCAAGTACGCGACTTTCTTTTAGTAAACTCTAGAAAAAAAAACTAGTACAAGTACTCAACTAACAATGATAGTTCAATCACTCAATTACAATAACGACCATCTTTAAATTACCCACTAGAGTTATTATAGCTGAAAAACAACCAACAAATCAAATATTTTCACAACTTATTATCAGGCCGGGTCGTCATTCCATTCGATTTCATTATGGTATATTTTTTTCTTACAAAAAGTAATCAATTAATACCAATATTATGAAACAATATTAAAAGTAATATGATATATATTAACTCTTGATATTAATAAAAGTATTTATTTATGAAATATATTAATTACACCGGATCTATAATATGTGTATTAACAACTCAATCAGTTTATGTAGTATCTCAAAGTTGATAGTTAAAGACACTCATGAGATGTAATTTTTATTGACTAAATATTATTTTAAGAAGTCAAATTTAATTAAATATAAAGTTTAACTAATGAAAAATTGATCATAAATGAATTTTTTTGAGTGTATATGAAGGGATGGAGATTGGAGAGGGACAAATGACAGTCTGTGAGAAAAGAGACTGTGAAGTTGCACATGGGGTAGAGGATCTAGAACTCAGAATTAAGATATAAATCCTTGCTAAAGTGTAGATAGAAAAATGCAAAAGGATGAAGGTGAATACAATATGAAACGCCAAAACATGCCAGAAAAGGAAAGTGTATATAAGCAAAGAAAGCAGAGGGAAATTAGTGCAGTAGGTATCATTAAGATGAGGCTTAGATTAGGAGAGAGAGAGAGAGAAAAGCGTCCCAGATAGGGAAACCAAAAGAGTAGTTTGCCTGAGTGAATGATGATAGCGATCTAACAATTGATGCCACAATGTGCACTATAGATAGGACCAATGCCTCTCCACCCTAGTCCCACTCACAGTCACCATCACCCTTCCCAATATAAACTATATATCCATACTTTTATTCTTATGTCTTGCGTTATACAATCAAACGCATACCTCACTGGTCGGTTATTCTATCAAATTTAAATAAACCAACTTGTTTTTAACTATTTATTAAAAACAAATTAAACTAGTCCCCATAATTTTCCAACAGTTCAACAAATCCCGCATATAGAAACACTCATCTAAAAAACAAAAACAAAGTGGTCTCAAAGTAATGTACCCTTTTGGCTTTTGCTGAATTACTTATACTATCTCCACAGAGGTTGTCACGCATCCTAGGGTAAAACCAATAGGAAAATCTCTCTGGATGTTGCAATGTTCCGTAGATCCGATGCAAAGTGAAAGGATAGAGGGAGAGCTTTAACCTACTGAGCAGTGAACAACATAGTCCCACTTTGTACTCCATTCTGCAATTCACTATCTTTTTTTTCCCTTCATTTAGAATCAAGGCCGTGGCATCAGTTTTTTGGACCACTGAACCTCTCGTGGCTTTGATCAAATATTACCATTTCATTAGCTTGCTTAATGTTATGTATTGCCTTCTTTTGGTAGGTGGGCTACAAAAGCAAGGCAAATTTTATTGAATTAAGGGTAGCTCTTTTGCCTTTGCTTAATTGCTTTTTCATCAACATTGATCATCCTCATTTTCAACTACCTTAAATATTTTTCACTTTAATATTCATTATATCATCACAATTTTATCTTTCAAAGATGTCACAATATTTTAAGAGATGAGAGTGTTTATAATCGATCTACTTTAACTCTGAATGGTGTGAGAATTTTGGCAAAAACCAGTAATTCCAGTAGTAATAATTGAAAGTGAAAAAACCAGCTTATGATAAATCTTGAACATGCTCTACCCAAAAAAATTTCAACGTGTAATTTCAATTCTGTGTATGGAGGAATTTGGGCCCACTTTACCCAAAATATCTAGGATGACGCTCTAAATGATGTAAGCCCGCTTGTTTCTCAATTTTTTAATTCATTTACCCGACCAACACAACATCCTAGAAACAAATGGGTTGGATGATTATTCTCACATTATTCTAGTATTATTGCAACCAACGAGATAACAAAGTTTAGGATCTGGTTCGTCAAATGAAAGGTGTTGTGCAGCATATTAATATTGCAAGTAGAGATTTTTAAAAGAAAAATCCATCCACTTTGAAAGAAAGAACAAATTTTAAAAGCAGCACTGATGTAAGATCCAGACGACAAAGGCTTAACATACAGTTAATAGCGAGAGTGTGGTTTATTACCCATTCAGATGCTGTTCCCTCCCATACTCACAAATCTAGAATCATTGAACCCAACCATCACACAAACCAATTACTCCTCTGCTCTGTTCCCATAAAGTTACATCCCATAAATAAATGACCCAACTCCTGTTTCCCCCGTTAATTAACATTGTTATTAGTACGCACTCAATTTTCTTTCTCGTAAAGGTTAAAACTGACAAAGGCCTTACACCCCCCAAGCAAGCTAGCCCCTTCACCATTTATACCCTTTTGGTCTCTTCCTTCTCTCTCTCTCAACGTATCAGTGTCCTTTTGAAGCTTTAGACGAACAATGATAGGTCCTTCTCGCCATTATAGCCTTTGTCTGACTGCTTTTGGCCAAGAGAACTGATTCAAAGGACACCACTGATGGAGACTATTCATCACCATCCGGTGATATTTCCAAGACACAAAAATACTAACCCATTTTGCATATGCCTCCCTCTTTTAGTAAAACTCATTTTTTATCTTTCTTCCCCCTCTCTCAAGCCAGTAGTAAGAAATTAATACTTGTCTCAACGTTTTATGTCAAGCTAAGCATAACCTATTAGGGAGCCCAAGCTAGCATCTTTCCTTGGCAAGGCCAATCCCGATACGAACAGAAATAAGGAACAAATTGACAACCATGTGCATGTGATGGCAATACATCCCAAATTAAGAAACGAATGTGTGCTGTCATAAATACTATAGCGCAGAAATGCAGTAAAGTAGTAAATCATAGTTATACAAGAAGATCAGAAATTTTAGTCAGCGCCGAGAATAAATATCTAGTTAAAAGATTTCATCCGTTGGTTAGTTTGACTGGCCCAAGACCAAATCCAGTGAGTTCCCAATTTGGCTTTATCCCTTCCTTTCACCCCAATAGTAAAGTTACAGTTATGAATGGGCTTCCTAAAGGAGGGGGAGCCTGCACACATTGATGCTCACAAGAGAAACTAGGGGGAGATTATTTTTTAATGTAAATGGCAATTAAGGATCATGAGGGTCTCATGAGAGAGTGGAACCCATTTTTCTGCAGCCAACCTTGGGAGGGTCTAATCTGCGGTGGGAATCCTGATGATGCTGCAGCAGTTGCTAACAAATGTGGAGGCCCGGCTTGCCATTGTTGTTCATCCGACATTGATAATGAAAGATCACTTCCAATACGGCCTCCATTACTGCTGCTAGGAACCTGCATGTTCGAGAGAAAAGAATTTAAGCCCACTTCGGTGCGTGCTTCCTCAATCGTCTTTTGTCCATTTAAATTTAATGCATCAGCTAAAACACAAAGTAGTTCAAGAGGTACCCACATGAAAACTTGGTGGGTGAAGATGTGCAAAATTGTGAGGCATTTGAGCCTCTGCTGGTGACCTATACGGACCATATCTATGCATTTCTTTGGTGGATGGAGATTGAAGGTGAGTTTGACTTAGCATCCTCAAGGCTTCACTCTCCCCCTGTCCCTCTCTTGCATATGCTTCCATGTTGCTTCTACCACATGGTTTTGGTAGTATATTTACCAGCTGAATGAAACACAATGATTCAGGTAGAGTTCAACTTGAAAACTGATTAAACACGGAGTGAATTAGCGTCAAACATTACATGAACCTTGGGCTTGCTTCCCGCATTGCGCCAATTAGATTCAGGTGGCATATGCTGATCGGTTGCAGCATTTGGGAAGTGATTCCCCGATGTTATAGAGCTAGAATTGCCCAAACTCAAATCTAGATTGTGATCTACAGCCACACCTGAGGATTCTGCCACCCAATAACACATTTAACTAATCATGTCTTGTGAATGTGTGCAATAAAATACAAACAGTTTGATTATGAGTCACAAAGCTCAAGTTCATTGCTTAATTACCGGAATTAAGTTCATTATCATAGATGCTGGGATCAAAATTGGTGACGGCCTCTTTGCCGTTGCATTTTATTGCTGCTTTGTCATATGCCCTATATACAAAATGCGCCAAAAACTTCAAAACCCTAGCATGCGTGGCTACTTTCTCATGGAATTGGAAGGGGAAAAATCAAATTGACAAGGTAAACAAATTAAGTAGACACCTTGCAGCTTCAACCTCGGTGTCAAAAAGACCCAGATAAACGTACCTGATGAATGAAATCAAATCAAAACGACCTTAATTTTGTCACGCCACAGCTAAAAACAGCATGTACAAACACACACATGGATAACACGATGTATTAAATATAGATATAGTAGAAGTTAGGTCCTACTTTTTGCCCAAAAATTGACCCATTCGAGCCTCCCATCTTCCACACTTGTGCAAAGTGACGCCTCTATATTTGGAGCTTCCCCTCGGAAATCCAGTGCTTTGTCGGCGTAGTACGTGCACAAACTCCTCCTTGGTTAGATTGCTCATCTATATATGTTAACATAACATTAATTAGCCAAATCAATTTAAGAAGCAGATAAAATAATTAAGAACTGTAAGAGATAAGGTATCACGCCACGCTACTATTCGAGATGAAGATAAAATGCCTTTCAACAGAATCTCTCTCTCTTGATGACTCACCTGCTTCAAGTCTTCCTCATAGTCTTCTATGTTGAAGTTGATGTCCGCCTCCACCCCCCGGAACTTAATGGCCGCTCTATCATACGCACTGGACATAAATGAATAGCACATGATTTCATTAATCCGAACCTTATATTAATTTCGAAGAAACGAAATTTAATACGGATTCGGTTCGAGATGTAGAAAGGTTATATTACGAGAGGGAGCAAGTGCTCACCGAGCAGCTGCATGTGCTGTGTCAAATCCACCTACACAAATTTACCCAGACAAAACCATCTCATCAGTCATCACTAAAAATTTCCCACAATACTCTCTTGTCTTCTCCCAAATCATACATACCCACAACAAAATATTATTATTAAATAAAACACACACAAGTGTACAACAACAACAACTACCACCTATGCAATCGTCCTCATGGTAATACTTACCCAAATACACTTGCTTTCCACAATCCCTGCAGTACCAAGGACAAACACAACCAAATGAATCAAAATCCAACCTTTGACAAGTTCAATAAGAAAAAAACAGTTTTTTTCTTCTTCTTTTTTTGTGATTAGAATTTACACAGTACTAACCATATATGAGACTCCCACCGACCGGTTCTTCTGTAAAACGTAACTCCGCGATACTGCGAGCTCCGGGAACGTGGTCCTCGCCGGCTTTTCTTCATGGGCTCCGAGACTTTCACTGCTTTCCCGGCGCCAAGTGTTTCCGATTGACAGAATTTGACACCAACCCAGTGAGCACGTGGGAAGGAGGAGCTTCCACCGGCGACGGCAGCGGTCTCTGAATCCTCGAGCGGAAAAAACTGGCGTGTGACCGGAGGGTGGTCAGTGTCATCTGGGGTGACCTGGAAACCGAAAATTTTGCTGGTTTTTTTGTCGAACGTTGCGGTTCCGGTTGCACCTCTGTCACTGTCTTCTTCTTCGGATCCATCTTCGACGAGGGAACTGGAATTGGAGAGAGATCCCACTCTCTTGCCTTTGTCGTCATTGATGGAAGAGGAGCATGGTTCAGATTCGTAGTCCTTTCTCTGGCGAGGGGAGTCGTTGAGATCCCACATTCTTGAAAATGGAGGAGAAGAAAGAAAAACGAAACCTAGGACGAGTGTGAGAGAGAAAGAGGTAGGTGTTGGAAAAGGGTAATAAAGAAGGAGGTGTTGAAAGATCTTTGTATTCCCCTAACAGCATAGACGAGGCGAGTTTGAGCTAGCTTAGCCGAAAGCACGCATCACACCCTCTCTCTCTTTTTCTCTGTCTCTTTATCTTACTCAAAATCAAAATCAAAATCAAAATCAAAATCGTCTATTTTTGTTTTGCTTCTCGCGGAGGAAACTGGCTATATATATATATATATATATATATATATATATCTATATATATATTTTTTTTATTTGTGAAG